CTTGTTTATCAGTGTTTCTCAAGCTTTCCTTACTTGACAATTGTTTTACCATATCTCCCGCTTTGTTACATTCACTTTCCTCTTGAAATTTGCAAGTGCGTTTTATAAGCACTCCATTCTTCTGAGTTAAACCCTCCCTCCCTCGCTCTCTTGAAAGTTTTCTGGACTTCTCTTTTCTTTTATTGTACTCGTGTTTTAAGGGGGTCATTTCTCTCGTATGTCACCAATAAGGTACTCTGTACCTGATGTAATGTCCAGTCCAAGTCTTCGCAGCTGCGATACTTGCTTTTAAAGGTAGCCAATCTCTTTAGCTCCTCCTTGTATCCCTGATAATCTGTATTTTCCGGATTCCTCGTAGACTGACTTTTTGGTTTTCTGTCTTCTACCTTTTATGTGAAGTAATAGTCTTATGGTCTGTAATGAATGTTTCTTTCACCACTCTTCATCCTACTTGTTTTGTCTTTGATGCCTATTGAAACCAATGTATAATGGTGGGCTCATTCCTTGATTCACAATATCTATCTTGGTACTGATGTCTTATTCGAGTGCTACTCTTTGCTTTCATTGCATTAATATTAGTGCTTCCCTATGCTGTATGGTAAACATTGGTTTCGCATGCAACAATCAAGTCAACATTCTGAAACCTGCAGTTTTCTATTACATCTCGCATGCCTGGCATCGGTATCTCTTTCTCATGTAGTAGATAAACCGATATGACAATAGTGGTTCTTCTACGCAAATCCCCATTTGCCACTTTTATCTTGTTAGTAGTAAAGTCATACAGGCTTCATGGCACAGCCCCTGGAGATTAGTTCTAGTAGTAGAAACTGATCAAACCCTTGACGCAAATGCTCGTTCGCACATTCCCGACTTCACAATGAATTCTCGTCCATTTGCTTTAAGCTTTTAATACAGTTATTTGATACATACGATTCCCATATCAGTGCTATGTGTGTATGTACCCCACCTATGCTTTTTGTTAATACCGCAGAGAAGTTTGCAGTAGTATAAATTAATATGAGTGGAAACTAATATGATTAATAAGACAAAAGTTCTAAGCCTTACAATAAATACTTGTTATATAATGATAATAATGGAATATTATTAAATAGGAACAGATGATTTAGAAATGAAATCTGATGCTGTTGTGGTTAATATTAGATCTCCAAAGGATGAACTGCAAAATGAAGAATTTGAAATTATATCGACTGAAACGTTTGTAAATATTTCTCCTAACGAAGAGGAATCAATTAAAAAATCTGATGGAGAATTAGTTGATTTAGCAATTTATAGTTATGAAAATAACGATATTTCCAAGGAAAATGTAGAAGACAAAACAATGTCTATGGTTCGTCAGGATTTACAGGTTGATGATTATGTTGAGATTAACCCAGTTATTGAATGTCATACACAGAACTCTGAAAATTCATCTTGTGGTAAGAATCCTGCTATCCTAGCTGTTTTATATTTGTTATTTATTTGTCAATTTATCTCTCTCTCCCTCTCTCCTTACTATCACACATTTACTATTTAACACGAGGTTGCTTTACTTATGTATATTGCAATGATTACAATGACAATAGTAAAGGAACGCTGATGGGTCACAGGCAAAGTTAGTTCTCTTGTAATATCTTCTGATTAAAACATCATCAGGATACTATGGAAATTGTTTTTTATTTTAGATATATTTCGAACATATAAAAAAAGTAAAATACACAATTTTCTGATCGCTATATACTTTATCGGTACATAATCATATTCACGTCTTTTTTATACCTAAAAATGAAGAATTCTTCTTTTCATTCCCAAGTCGATAGAAAGCTTGCCAAACTTTGTTCGACCTATTATAGTAGCAAATTTTTATGCTTCAGCTAAGACCGTTTGTGCATAACTTGCCGCGTATTTTACTATGAATCTGCTATTTGGCGTGTAATTGAAATTATTTTGATAAGCATTTTTACAGTCTGTATCGAATGTAGTTTCATGATTTTGGTTTTCAATCTTGTGTCTGTGTCTGTGTCTATCAGTATCGTGTCTGCCATTTCGACAGACTATGTGTGTGTTAAGATTTCTATCTTCTTGTTATTAGAAAGATTGTCAAATCTGTTTTGACGTCTACTTCAAACTTTTTGATGAAGGATTCAATACTCGAGTTTTTCAGTTTTTACGTTGTCACGATGTAGAAGCGTCTGTTTGAGGTTCACATGAGAGTTTTCCAGTCTTCTTTACGGAGATTTTCGATTTAAGTAAGACGCTCGGCTTGCTTAGTTTGATAAATGACTTCTCGAATTATCTATCGACTAAGGTGCTGAGTAAAAGCTTGGATAATTGAAGTCGAAGTTGAACTTGGCGCTGTTTTAAAGGATTCCGTATTTTCCTCGACTTCGATAATTTGATGCTGTCGGTTTCGTTCTTGACACTTCTCAGAAACATTAATTCTGATGCACTGTTGTCGGAGTTGTTTTATTACTAACAAATTTACGTACTGTTGTAAAGCGAAAACTTGAACAAAGCGAATAATGATTCGAATTCAATTTGGCAAAGTGGAACTGTGAACAGAAAACATGTCTCCTTACTAGAATTACGTTCTATCAATTTTTGAAAATATATGATCGGAACTTGTTTTTACGCTCTCTAAAAATATAATTTCTAAAAATAATCTAAAAAGATAATATCTTAAACAAACTTGTATCGGTAAGATTTTCCAAGAGGTTCATTAATCTGTTTTGAAATTGCAATTTATATGGATTCGAATTATATGCTAGTTTTTTTGTTTCATTGATCAGAAAAATAATACTATTTGAGAAATCATATGTACATAAATTATTTTTATAGGCAAATTAATTAATCCAGTTTTAAGCGAATGTACTAATAAGAGTAACGCTCTTTGTAGTAATAGAAGGAAGGGAAACCACCAAAAGACAATCATTGCAGTAAAAGAGAATGAAACGAATGGTTAGTGTTAATTAATATCTCTTATTTTCCATGCCTTCATCTAAATTATCATATATAATTGATCATTCTCAAACTCTATTTGCCAGTTAAATTGTCAATTACTAGTTCTGGTTCACTTAATCTCAAAGATTGTAACCTTAATGTACCTGGGACACCTAGAATATCCCGTAAAGATCAATTCGTTAAAAGAAACATATCAAACAGAGATAATCATAGTACCGCGCGGCGGGTCCCAAAATATCACGTCTGTTACATATGCAATCGGCAAGTAGCAGACAAAATCAAAAGGCACTTGCTTGAAGTTCACGCGGATCATGATCTTATTAAGAATTCTAGACGATTTGGTTCAGATGAGTTTCAACGTATTGTAGAAGTAATCATCAATTTAGGTGATTATAACAATGACATGCGGAATGAAAAGAGTAATACAGAAAAGCATGTTGCCTGCAAACCAAACGCTCGAAAGATTATCAGAGTAAAAGTTAATAAAGATACTGGCGAATACATTTTACCCGAAAATTGCTATGCTTCTATCATCTCTTTCAGAAATGATAATAAAGGAAATAAGATTCCCGTTATTTACAATTATGATTTGCCAGAGCAACATGATGCTAGTGAATACACTTATTGTGTTAATTGCTACAAATGCATCAAAGGCAAACTTATATCTAGGCACAAATGTCCTTTCGATGATCGACTTCCAAAAAGGGGTTTAAAACAATTATGTGATGCATTAATACCTGATATGCACCCAAAAGCTTCACTTCGACTCCGAAAAGTAGTTCTAGCATCTATGAAACAAGACGATATAAAAGGTATTTTAATAAAAGATGAAACAATTATTTTATATGGAAACGCTATGACTTCGTACCATACCAATAACCAAGATTGGTCTATGATTAGTACTTCACTGAGACAGTTGGGTGACTTTTTAAAAACTGCTCGAGAAGCTAATCCGAAAATTGAGACGTTCGCTGATATTTTATCTGCAAGAAACAATATTGATATAATCGAACAATCTCTGCTAAAAATAGTTGATCATAATCCATTGACAGAAAAGATAGCCAAAGGAAACAAACTACAAAAATTAACAATTTTGATTAAAAAAGTAATAGGATTTTACGAGCGTTATTGCCTTCGCAACCATTTGGACCATGCCAACGAAGTTACTGTAATCAAGAAACTTTCTGAAGACTCTGCAAAAAATTTGAACAAAAAAGCTCGAGACTGCTTAATTGAGCAAGAGAAAGAGAAACTACCACAAAAACTTCCAAAACCTGAAGTAATTCAGCAATTATATTGCTATACAGAAAAAAAAAGAGCTACTGCCGAAAAAACATTGATTAATTTTCTTCATGAGGGAATAGGACATTTCTCTAGAAATGATTGGATAGTTCTAAATGAATCGACTTTACTTTTATTGCAAATTTTTAATCGGAAACGACAGGGGGAATTGTCGCGATTGCTCTGGACGGATCTTAATGAAAAATGTATTTATAAAATTGATAAACATTCTAAAGGAGACGAGTACAAAAGACTTTCTGAAAAAGATAAAAATATTGCTAGTAACTATTGCCGAGTATCTATTAAAAACAAACTACAAAAAAAACGAGTAGGTTTACTCATTCATAAGAGATTGCTATGTAGCATATACCTCATTGGTGAGCTCAGAAAGCATGCTGGCATCCCAGAGAACAACAAATACGTTTTTGCAAAGCCTAACAACAAGCTTGCCGACAGAGATACGTATTTTGAAGCATACATTGTTATGAGGCAGTATGCAGCTCAGTGTGGTGCCCAGAACCCTGAACTTCTTCGTGGAACTTTGCTCCGTAAACAAATTGCAACAATGCTTTATGGGATGGATGCGGGAATCGGCATTAGCAAGGAATTGGCAAGATTTCTCGGCCACCATTATGATATTCATGAGCAATACTATAGGTTTGAAATCCCTTTCAAAGAGATAGTACAACTAACACCCATATTTGTAGATGGGCAAGGTGGCGAGGATACGTCATGTTTACCATGTTTAGCAAACGATGATCCAGAAATCGATAATGGTATGTCAATAAGATAAGTTTTCAGAATCAAACTTAGACTTATCAATTAATCAGAACAAAACTAATAATTTTTTTTAACCTATGACTTCGTTCCTCCATAATTCCTATTTTTCTTCGTTTCCTTATTTTTTTAGATCAATTTTTGTTTCTAAATATCAGCTATGATAATTACGCAATAAAAAAATACGAAATTTATAAAATCACGGTAAAAGTTTTTAATTTTCACATTTAATACTAATGCATCGTGTATTAGAATGTGAATGCTATTCTATGTGCATTATTAACTAAAAGATAACAATCAAAAACGAAGATTTTTATATTCAGTTGCTAGATTTATTTTTCAGTTACTTTTTTCAACTACTTTTGTATTTACTTTATTCTTTTCCTCATAACATTTTAAATATACTTATTTTCCGCCATTGATAATATTTCTTCTGCTTTTGATTCTTCTTCGTCTTTTTTCTTATAAGCTTTTGTTCTACTCTATTTTGTGTTACCAAGTTAGCTTCCTTCCCTAACCTTTCCTGTAACTACTTCCCTGCTTTTGTTTCTTTAAATTGTAACAGCTTCACCAAGGACTCCCATGAAAGTAACTTATAGATGAATATTTTGTAGGCGAAAACACAGAAACAATGAACAATTTAGCCTTGAGAATACCAACATAAATGTGAACCAATTGTAACTCAATTCCAACAATGTCTATGGTCAGTCAAAGTAATTTTAGCAATAGAAGTAGTCGTTTTGTGTGTTTGATTTTATATCTTATTTTTGCGTGTATATTTGAATTAGTTTTTAGTTAATGTGATTGTTTGTGCATATTTGTTATCGATTCTATACTAACACAATATTTTTTTCCTTCATTTTATTCAAATATTTATCTATCTTTTTATTTAATATTCATATTTTAATATATTAGTAGTGGACGAATCAGAGAACAGAGCTTATCTTAATAATAGTGATGACTCTAATGATGAAGGTGCAAAAGAGTTGATGAACGATGAAGATGATTTTAATAATGTTTCCATTGAATCCATTGAACAGATTGATGTAAGTAAGTTGGACATTCCAATCAATGAAATAAACTTAAGACCTAAAATTAAAAGATCATCAAAAAGAAAGTCATCGAGTAGTGAAGATGATATACCGTTGAAAAAACGATCGAAAAAAGATTCTTCACCAGAATACATACCTGAAGCAGAATATGAAACCGAATCAAATTATGATTTTGATGAAGAAGATACTGTTGATGATTATTTTGAAGATAGAAAGAAGGAAAAATTACAAAATATAAAAACAAAGAAGCTTTTTGGGCTTACATCTACAGTTGTAAAGAAAGCGAACCATGAAGGTGAGCAATTATCATTAATTATTCAATAAGTAGAAAGATAATTTGTAGTTCTATTGCTACCTTGTCTCAAGCAATAATCATTCTTATGAAAAAATTACGAGGACTTTTCATTAAGTCAGTAGTTTGGCTTAGAGTCGCACTGCTATTGTAACATATATATGTACATATATTGTAACTAAAAAAATACCGTCTACTATCATTATGATTGATTTTATGAGAATTACAGTTTAGAAAACTTAACGGAGCCTGAATATCTTTTAGCTATATTATAAATGTATAGTCAGGATGGTACTATGTAAAAAAAACGAGTAGACATTTTTGTGCGAAAAGTATTTCAAAGTTTGAAAAGGGTGAATTTATTAAATAACCCTCAGATATTAAATTTCGCTCAACATTCCATTCTTTTTTATGACATATTCATGCCAACTACATTCAACAGGGCGTCCACTATCCATTTATTTCTCAGTATTGATGTTCGGTTTTCTTGTCATTTTTTAATTAGCCCATTGGTCGGAGCTATATTTAATTCTTTATTTTCAAAATTTCTAATAGAAAATAAAAATAATTTCAAATGTTTTGTTACAGGCAGGCGAGTAGTTCCATGGACCGATGAAGAAAAGCAAGCCATAAAAGAATTTATAAAAACCAATGGTAAACCAAACAGAGTAACAACAAATTTTATTCAGCAAATCAAAGATGCTAATAAACAGATTTTAGCACATCGCAGCATCGCAGTTTTAAGAGCACATCTTCACAATTTTGGCTACGTCGAAAAAAGCTAGAGTATACAAATCACATAGTTGTTTCAATAATCAATAAAAAACTAGTTAATAAGTATAAATGTAGTAACGTAAACTGAGTTTACTTTAATGAGCTATATTATATATCGTTGAAATAAAGAAAATGTAATATTCTTTTCTATGAACCCTGCTGTGTTCATATTCATCTGATCCTCAATGTCACGGAAATCCGTCATGACCAACAATACTAATTCAGATATAGGTAATTTTTATTCGTAAACACAATTCAGATAGCCATAATACATTTAATACTATGTGTCATGGAAATCGTCTCTCGCTAATAACTTTATAAGTTGTATGGTTGTGGGAATTTTTTTATTTGTGAACACAATGCAGAATCAGTAATGCATTTAATACTAAGAGTTACGGAACTCTTCAGTCGCCATATGCATATGATACTTGTTCAATTAGGAAAAAGTTGTTCATCGTGAACATATTTTATTTAGCCGCGATTCTTCAGATTATTCGCGTCGCAAAAATCCACCGTCACATTACTAACGATACATGATACATTATCCGCTTTTATAGAATATTTCAGCTGACCGGATTTGCAGGACACAGGGTCGCGACCGATAATGCTCGATATGTCGATCAAAAAATGATTTATGGGCATAATAGAACTATTTGTAGACGAATGATTATTCCAGTGGGGATATCTGAAAAGTATGGTACGAAGGAATCATTTCTATAATGTTCATTATGAGTTGAACTACTTTGAAAATCTACGTTAGCTTTTCCATCAAAAACTAGGCTAAATCCATGTTGGAACATCGTTTTTCGACCCACAGTGCCTACTACTTGCTTGAATGATATGTAATTGATTACAATATCACATTGCTAGAATGCAAAAGGCCTATAGTATCCGCTTTTATAAAATATCTCAGCAGACCGGATTTCCAGGACACAGGTTCCTGACCAATGATAATGCCCGTTATCTTGTTCCAAAAACGAATTATGGGCTAACTACAATTATTTGTAGACGAATGATAATTCCAGTGGGGATATCTGAAAAGTAGTGTATGAAGGAATCATTTATATAATTTTCCTTATGAGTTGAACTACTTTGAAAATCGAGATATCTCTGAAAAGTAAGGTACAATGAAATCAATTCTATAATGTTCATTATGAGTTGAACTGATGTTAAAATCTACGTTAGTTTTTCTCTCAAAAACTCCGCTATATCGACGTTGGAAAATTATTTTTCGACCCCCGGTGCTTACGGCTTGCTCTCATGATAGGTAATTGATTTGTATATCATATTGCTAGAATGCAAGAGGCCTATAGTGTCCGCATTTATAGAATATCTTAGCTGACCGGATTTGCAGGACACAGGGTCGCGACCGATAATGCTCGATATGTCGATCAAAAAATGTTTTATGAGTAACTCATTAATGTTAATTTACTATTTTCCGTTTCAAGTGTGAGTTTTTCTAACACGGATACTACGTTTAGGTTGAGCTTTTGAATATTTAATATTTTATCTCTCATTAAAGTCTCCATTATAATGTTGTCTAATGGGCAGAATATGCCTTATAGCATGATTAATGGTTTGGCTAATTAAGTTTAATATTTTTTTTGCTGTCTTAATTTTGAGTGATTTAACTGTTGCTCAATTTACAAGATGTTAATTTTTGCTTCAAATTTTAATATATTATCTTTTGTTTTATAAAATATCATTACTATCATCTTTATTTTTCTAATTTCAAGACGTGATGTTTTAGTTTTATTTCCAATGATATCATTTTCTATGTTTTCAATAACCCATTTTTTCTTCAATTTCATTCATTTTCAGCCTTTGCATTAAATTTAATACTTTTCATTTCTATCTTATACTTATCATCTTTTTCTTTTCTCCATATACTTTTATTATTACCCAGACTTCCATACGTTCCGGGCACATAAATATCTAATATTCTTATTAGTTTTTCTGCCATTTGATCAATTTCCCAATGCTCAATAATAGAATTTTTTCGCATATGTTATTGGTTGAAGAACTTATGAAATGAAAACAAGAAAGAAGTCTTATGCATTTATTAAACCTTTAAAATTTTAATTTAATTTGTGAGTACACCATTTGCGTCACTATATCCATTTCCGATCACTTCCTCGAATATCTACCATAGACATGATTATTTTTAATAATAATTATTGAATGAATTTTCATAACGTATAAATAATATAAAAAAACTACTAGTTATTTCAGCTAACTGTTGCACATTTTTGTTTATACAAACACAATGATTTTTCTCCATGTCATGAATGATTTGGGAAATTTAACTATTTAAATTTAGTTTTTAATAAAAGCATTGTTTTAATAAAAAATTGTTCGAAATTAATAAATAGTTTATCGATTTGTGCTAATCGCAAGTAATTGTCGTGCAACAATTTTTATTAATACTTTTTAATACCCTACTTTGTGCTTTCATATGCTTCCAAATGAAAATGTTTAGTTTATCTATACAATGGACTCTAGACTCCATGATTGTCACCTTACATCTGACTTCAGTTCATAGACTCTACAATACAAAATAAAATACAATTTGTGATTTGTGATACATTTTATTAAAATTAATAATTTAGTAGTTTCATTTGATGAGTTGGTGTGATTATCTGTTGATGGTGTTGGTGTAGGCATAAAAAATAAACTACTTATCAGTTATCACTAAAGAGAAATGAGTGTCATAATGTTCAATATTTGAAAAAAATTGCTATATTTAAGTGAAAAATAAATAGAAAATTGAACAATTTTTTCCAAAGTGTACTTAATAATAATTAATACAAAATAAAGTTTATAATTTTATAATACATTTTATGGAGATCATTTTAGTAGTTCCTTCTTCATTTCTTTTTGATCCTGAAAGTTTTCACCAGTAAAAGTAGATTTATTAAAATTTAAGAGAGAGTCTTGAGATTTTAGTGATTATCAATTATTGATTCTTGTGTTTTAATTTTTAATTCAATTTTTCTTTGATTTTGGTTTATCAGATTATTATAGTAGAACAGCTTTAGTATAAATTATTAATATATAAATATTTATTAATTTAAAGTTTCTACTTATAACTTGAAGATTCTTTCATTGTTCCAGTGATGTGGCAAAAGTGTTTTGATCTCATCGACAAGATACCTTTCATTTATATTATTAATTAAACTAAAAATAATACTCCAATAAAACAAGCTTTATCTCTTAAACAAGTAATAAACTTTATTATTTCAACACAATAAGCTATTATCAAGAGTACGTACACATTTTTTTATAGTCTCAAAAGCTTGTCAATAAATAACTATATCAAATTCTTTTTTCATATTCAAATAAATGAAAAGTTGTTTGTCAATTAGCTATTACCAAGTGTACGTACAATTTTTATTGTCTCAAAAGCTTGTCAATAAACAACAGTAGTTAAATTTCTTTTTTTATATTCAAAATACTAAGCTGCTTACAAAACTTCAAATGACTCCACAATGTTTTCTTTGAAAAATACGAGAAGCAATTAGTACATTCTACTTTTTCAACTTCATATACAGCATCTTTCCTGATTTTCCTTACTGGTATAATAATACCTGTCATCTGGCGATAATGTGCATAGCCTTGATTACGTAAGAAAGACATGGCTGCGTTTTTTAAATTAAAATCTTCATGATTTAAATAGGTTTTTACAATATTCTTATCAGAGTGAAATAATCTCAAGTGTCGTGGCAGTTTAATTTTAAAATGGTCGCAATAGATGCAGAGTCCTGCTCCATTTTTCCGTCCTATGAGATATTGCTCAATTACTAATTCATGAAGTATTTCCAGTTTCACATAAGCTCTATCAAGTTTTTTATCTAAATTTATATACAGAGCAAAGCCATAAAAATCTATAAAATAATTTGTAATAAAGAAATTTATGTGAACATATACTGCTTTGATATAAAGAATAAGATATTAAAATAACTAATTACCCTCCATATTTCCAGATGCATGGCTAAGACTCATCCTGGAATCAGATGAATCTCCTTGGCTTATTACAATTTCATTGGTTTCATTTCTTGGTAAATCTGGATATTTAGACACATATCTTTTGTTCATTTAATAAATTTTAGAACATTCAAAAATTTATAGTAACTTACCTATCATATCACATGTGAGGCACTCACAGAACAAATTATCATTACCAAAATAATTATTGCTGTAATAAACTACAAGTTCTTGGCCTTTTTTAATACATTTAAGTGTTCTTAAATAAACCATATGACTTTCTGCTGATACAAATTCAGAATTTGGCTTACAATCATGGTTTATAAACGCTATTGATCCTAAAAATATGTTGTTTTTATTGGATCTATAACTTTTAATTATAGAAAAATCATTTTTAGACAACGTTAATCTTTTTTCTTCATCATACGAAAGCGGTTCGAAGTATCCAAATATATTTTTCATCACAGTATAAGCAGGAATATCTTCATTGGCCACAACTTTTATACCATTGAAACCTTCTTTAGAATATCTAACACAATTTTCCAATTTCACTTTAGAATCAGGATGAAAGAATCTGAGGTATAGCTTAAAATAATTCCTAAGCCACTTTTTGTATGAAATGTTGAATTTAAAATAAAGATTTAACTCACAGACCACTTTTTCTAATTTAGTGAGAAGACTTTCAATGTCTTTGTTTTTGGCAAAATCAGAAAACATTTTGTTAACTTCATATTTTGCAAGGTCTTTGGACGTTTCAGCCATTGCATCTTTGTTAATTTTACGCACATTGTTCGAAAATTTATCAACTATAATCAACTTAGACAAATCATCTATGTTTATTAAAACTTCTGCGTTCATACTGATATTTTTTTTCTTCAAATAAATTTAAAAAATAAAATCAAAACGTAGCATTGGCTGGAATGACAAAGTCTGCATATGTGCATAACATTTATGCAGCGAGTCAGCTTAAATCCAAAATGTAGCACAAGTTCCCTCCGATAATTATGCAGACAATTACGGCAACTTATGCTTACAAGTCAGCATAAGTACCTA